CTAGGCTGAGGGAATATCCCTCCCTCTCTGTGAGCTCCCAGAGTCCATTCATATACTAGGGTTAAATAGTGATCCACTACCAGAGGCCCCATAGACTGCCCAGCTACAGCTTTAATTCATAGTCTCTATGTACTTATGTTCCACTTTCTAAAACATAATTTTGACTTTTTATAAAATTTCGACTTTTTCTCAGAATGACTGAAACCCACCTCTTGACAGACTTGTTTGTTAAAAGAATGACAGCACAGAGTCACCATAATGCAGAAAACATGACAATGGTTCTTAAATATACTTTTTAAAATTGGAAAGCCTGATAATTCACTTTGCATCCCAAACTGAATGATCTAAGAATAGGAAAGTAGCATATATGGTGGTGTTTGTTCAGTTTGCTACATTTGTGAGTGTAAGCGTTTTACATCAAGTAATGAATATTATCGATGATGTTATGAGCAAAGCTAAGACAAAAGTTGGTTTTTTTTCCCTGTGTGCCTACAGATTACTGGGACGGTACTAGATATTCAGAAAGTCTAATGGTCTATTACATCTGAAGAAGTTGTAATTAATAAGCACCCAAATGAAAGCAATTCTGCTCACTTTGGTGAGAATAGTTTTTACTTGAGAGTATTTCTAGAAAGAGATGGTGTGGAGGAGACAGAGAGGAAAATGTGATCAAACAAACACTAGAGGAAGGAATAAAATACTGTAAAAAGAGAATAAAGTTTAATTCACAAATGGAATGGGAGTATATATGGTCCCGTACAAGATTCCAGAACATACACGAGAAAGGGCATCAAGTGAGCCTGGAATTCTTGAATTCCAACATTAAAACAAACAGCTTTCAGGATCACACATTTCTAGAAGTTTATCAGTTGGTAGAGTCTGGCATACAAGAAGCTCTGGATTCAGTCTCCAGCCTCATAAACCAGTGGTGGACACATACCTGTATTCCCAGCACTTGGGAGTTGGTGGGGAAAGAGGCAGAAGTTCAAAGCCATTCTAGGCTACAGAAGACCTTGTCTCAAAATTGTTTTGTACCAAATTCTAAAAAAAAAAACTTTTCTTTTTCGAAGTTAAAATAGAAACAAGATTTAGACTAACATGAAGCACTTCAACACAGTCCAGAAGACCATAGAGAGTGGATGAAAATCCCCAGATAAAAGAGACTGCACTCCAGAGTTCCCAGTAACAGGAAAAGGTATCAGGCACCCTATAGAGGGAGAAAGAACATTGTCCCCTGTGCTGGGACTAATGGAAGGCCTAGGAGCACTACAGAAGAGACCTGACAGTTTAGAAGCAGCATCCACACTGATGCTGTCACTGAAGACCAGCTCTGTGATACAAGGGGCAAGAAAGGACAGAGGGACAGGAAAGGAATGCTGCCAAGAAAGAATGTGACAATGATCTATTCGACGCTAGTCCAGAAAAACCCATGCATGGGCCAGTGATGGCGCCAATGGGGGAATGGGGAGAGGAGGGCACTTCAAGGTTCTCATACCAGTGTGGCAAGTAAGGGTTAGGCATTCCAGCAAAGGGCATGACTATGCTTATTTCTCACTAGGACTGGAGATGCAGCTTGGCTGTAAAACTCTTGCTTGGCAGATGTAAGATCCTGGGATCAATTCCCAATAATGTATGTATTTAACTAATTATTCATTTGTGATCCTCTGGACATAATGACTTGATAGACAGACTAAGGAATATCATCAGGGGTTGGAGAAATGACTCAGTGATTAAGAGCACTTTTTGCTGTTCCAGAGGATCAGGGTTCAATTCTCAGCACCCTCATTGTATCACACAGCCATCTCTAACTCTAGTTCCAGGAATCTAAAACCCTCTTCTAGCCTTCCTGGGCACCAGGCATGAATGTAGTGCACAGACCTAAGTCCAATCACATAAAACAAAAATAAATAAAATTTTAAAAAAGTATTATTAACCTTCCAAAGTCACCAGAAGCAAAGAAGAATATTAAGAAGAAATGTTACTGTCCCAACAAAACATAAAATAAAAATGAGAAGATTCAATAACACAGGAACATAAGAGGTAAATATATACAGTCTTGGAAAATAAAATCAAGGCTGAGAATGGCTTCATTTCGTCTATCTAAAGAAAAGGTTGCTAATGCAGTTTTTTAATGCAGCATGAATTCTAGAAACAGGTGCTGGAAGGAAGGGGCTCAGAGGCCAGTCCATCTCCCCAGACCTCTCAGAGTTTTGTGAGAAGGATGTGGTGCTAAAATCACCAAAGGGCTGTTTCTCCCAAGATGGTGGTATTCTAAAATGACTCTTCAATCACTATCAGAGATAATGAGGGCCTGAGATTTACCCTCCCAGCTTCCTGATAGAATACCTTATGAGACCTGCATTTATTAGACATTGCCCACTAGCAATCAATCACACTGGCTGCGTTCTCCACACTGCTTTCAAAGCAGTCTCTCAAAAGCAAGACTTCAGCAGGTCATCCAGTAACATGCCCATTGCCTGGGAAGAAGCTCTTCTTGTATAGTATTTTTCTGTAAGGAAGAGCCTCGTACTACCCCAGACTCATGAAAAGGAGACTTTGTTAAATTTTACATTGGGTTCCAGTGAAGACTGGGCACACCCTAAGACTCTCAATTGCCATATTTTACCACCAAATACAAAGTTGGTCAGAATCCCGCCCCTGGAGATTTATGTTATTTCTCTCCCACTTTAGTGGAGCTGGGCACAGCTGTGTTCTAATGATGGTTCTGTCACTGATTACTGTGGGACAAATCACTTAGCTTTTCCCAGTTTGTGAGTCTTTCTTGGCAATGCTTGAGGGTAAGAATCCCTACAGTAGCATGGGAAAGCCAAGCCTTGGAAGCATTAAAAGTATTACAGAGGGCCCCTAAGTCTTTTAGTTTACTTGAGTTTGTCTGTTTCTAGCTGTGAAAATGGGAGTTCCCGGGTATACATACCCTGGTGGGGGCACTTTGAATATGATTACTGTTAGTGTATTTATTATCACCTTTTAGCTGCTCGTGACTCCATCATTTTGATACCTATTATTGGGAAATGGCATTCTACATAGTACAGTTGTCCGTGTGCTGAAAATAACTAACATTGGTTTTATCCTTTGGGATCCAGGTGACTATTCCAGAAGAATTTATTAATCAGCTTAGTTTGGCATCTTGTGATAATCCTATGGTTGAATCTACCCTCCTACAGAAATAGTACCCCTACTCATACAGTTCTTTTGAGTATAACACCACCACTGTAACTCCCCAAATGGGTTTGGTATACAGAAAACTTTTGAGTCAGTACAAAGAAACCATGCAGTAACTTACACAAATTTTCTTAAGAGAAAATCAAGGATCTTTAGCATGTCCTCATGGTCTGAGTAGCCTGACCCCTGTCCTCCTCCTTCTCAGCCTCATCTTGCATCAACCCAACTTCTTCCCACTGTGCTCAGCGGCACCTACCCTGGTCCAGCCCTCTGACCTTCTTTTGAACACTACGGATACTTTGTATTGACCGTCAGTCCATAAAGTTTTCTCTGCTGCCTTGACACTGATCTCCCCACTGACCCCTATTTGGGCCATTTCCACAGGAAAGCCTGTGTGGCAGCAGCTACATTCGTACCCTCCCTACCAGACCTGAGTCCTTGGTACACTCTCTCATCGAAATGAGTTGGGCCTCTACTTGTCATCAGTTCATAGGGTTATTTGATTGACTTCTCTTCCTTTAGTCTCGGCAGAGTGGGCATACCTGGTTTTGCTCACCATTGTTCACACAGGAGCTCAGCACCTCCTGCAGGGCAAGTGTCCAGTGCTGCATGTGTGAACAGATGAGTGGACAAGTAAATGAATGGACAAGTGAATGAATGGACAAGTAAATGAATGGACAAGTAAATGAATGGATGTCCCTGCCATGGCGATTCTTGGGTCATTTATGCTGCCAAGAATTTCAGGAAGAACGCATAACTAAAAAAGCAGTGTCCCACAGCTGTTAGTGGTACTTATTCCAGGTAAACCAGCCAACTTTATTTATTCCTCGTTCTTCTTAAGAACACTTGTGTAACTCTGGGACAGCACAAGATGGAATGCCGAACAAATTCAATTTTAGTCTTAACATTCTTTTTGGAATGAAAAGTAATGTCTACTTCTTTGTACCACTGAAAAATGCATTTCTGGGTGGGCTTATAACACTGACTATTCTGCTTTCACTTTTCCTATTAAAGACATCCCCTCCCCAACTTGATGTCTCACTTCCTTTATCCCAATTTCAATAGCAACAGCCATAGTTATAGAAAAAGAAAAAGATAATATGTAAGTGTATGAAATAAGAAGCATTAAAAAGTGTATAATAATTTACATTGCACACAGTCACATTTAACTTGCCCCATGTGGTCTGATAAATGCAACCCTCAGAAAAAAATCAAAGGCACCAGACTATTAGGTTTACAGGGCCTGGTGAAGGCTTCAGTCATCCACTCTCCCTTTTTATTTTAGATGGCCCCCATATTTAATGTCTAGACACCTTATAGGAGCAGGCAAGATTGTCTCTAAGAAAGAAAGAAAAAAAAACCCATGGCTAGCTATGCATTTAAGACGTAGAACCATCCAGGTAAGATTAAAGTCCAATTTCTTCTTTTGGAAGGTCATCCACTTTACTCCCTACTATAGAAAGATTCCCAGCCCAAACGCCAGGGCTATTGAATTTTCATTCTGTTGACATAACTTATCTTGCCTTTCATCTTTCTCTGAAACAGTGAAGCCAGTCTTCTACTTTACCCACTGACAGGTAACTCTGAGCAAGTAATTTAAAAATTTTAATGGCCTGTTGAAACATACTTTTTTATGTTAAAACACAGTATCAAAAGAAGCAACGCAACTCAGTGCCATCGCTCTGACAGGAGACTCGGAGCACTGAGCAGTGGGCTGGAATGCTTCACAAATCCATTTGTACCAAGTTTTCCTACTTTAAATTTTTTTTAATGTTCACTTGAATTATAAGTTAATATGAAGAAGGTGGGCCACTCACCTGTTAAAACCCCGATTTGGAAGCAGAGGGCAAAGGCATACCACAGATATGACTTCATGTCTGCCAGGAGCAGCTACAGTCCTCCCTTCCAGGGTTCAAACGTGGCAATGAATTCACGTTCTCGGTTGTTTTCTGTTTTCTTGAGAGGAAGTGGGTTTGTGGAGGTTGATGTAGTGTCACATTTACCATCCAGTTAAAGACTCTACACGGACAACTTAACACAGCGCCTCCTCCCGCACATCAAGAGCCCAGTCCTGCATGAATGAAAGGATGAGTGTATGAGCCGATGCATGAATGAGTGAATGGATTTTATTTTCAAAGCTATTTATGTGTCATTTGTATGGTGAGGAACTTCATGGGCCATTGATAGCAGCACTGTGTAGAAGCATTATTGTTTATGGGGTGAATATCTTGTTGGTCATGAAGACCAGAGGACAATGCTGCCCTCATTCTGGTTAGAGACACAAAGTCTATTGTCTTCAGAAGCCATTCATTTCAGAAGTATCTCTAGATCAATAGCAGCTGGGGACTGCAGGATCCAACTCACATGACGAATAAGACATATTTTTGACACATTTCTGTCTGGGCTATTTGCTCCAGAGATAAAAAATTTGGTGAAGTAGGACAGAAAATAAATGAAGTTATTGAAGAAATTGAAATTTTAAAACATCTGAATGAGGAACGTTCCAGGAAGTTGAAAAATAATATTTACATGGTGCTCATTATAGATCATAGTTTTGTAAATGGTAGGGTCAGGTTTAGATCAACTTAACCCCTGATCTCTATGTTACAGCCATGAAAACTCAGGAGCCTGTCTGTAGGAACAGGTACAGATGAAGCAAGAAAGCTAAAAAGCCTGATAAATGCTTCTGCCCCTGAAAAATAGATAAGGGAGATGGTAGCAATAGCAATAATACAAATAATTTATTTATAGATACCTACATTTTATGTGAAATATATCTTAATTTAAAAATATACCTAAAATTTAAACATAGAGGGGATGAGGAGATGCCAAGCATGAGGACCTGAGTTCAAATCCTTAACAGCCAAGTAAAAACCTGGGTGTGGCTCACCATACCTGTAACCCTAGCACAGCACAATAGGGCAGAGACAGGTGGATCCCGAGAGCTCACTTGCCAGCCAGCCTAGACAAAATGGTGAGCTTGGACCCTTGAGAGACCCTGTCTCAAGCAGCAGCCAGGAGAATGAGAGAGAAAACATACACACACACACACACACACACACACATACACACACACACACTTCAATATAGACTAATACATGTTTACATTGTATAAAATATATCATACAATGAATATAGTTACATTATATTTACATTGTTTTATATGGATTTTTGTATATGTATTTACATTATTATATATTATTAAGTTATGTGTTACTATTAATCACTTTATGTATTGAGCGCCATTATTTTTCCCATTTCACAAATAGGCACAGAGAAGTAAAGGCCTGGTCCAAGTCCTATAGTAAATGTCTGTGCTGACATTTGAACTACTTCCCTAGTAGTTCTACTTCTCCATCTTAATGAAGCAGAAGAAGCCATTCATGCCAAGGCCTGTGATCCCATCACTTATGCCAAGGCCTGTAATCCTGTCACTCAGAGGTCTGATCTGACTTCAAGAATGCTGGATCTAGGCTGGGCCTCTTAGGAGTGACTGACCCTAGACCCTCAGAAGTGAATTCTAGGGCAGAAAATTATGTCACTTGAGAGTAACCAAAGTGTCACTCTGAAGCAGACCCAGGTTTGGAGCTACAGAACCACAGTTAGAGATACTAGAAGAGAACCTAACATTAGAAGCCAGGGTGGGGAGTGTAGCTGATCATGCAGCTTTCTCAAGCCTCCAGGGCTGTCCCTTGGTGTCTTAAAGTGTGAGTAACTCCCAAGAGTGGAAGGGGTTTCCAAGAGAGGGCACCGACATTCAGCCTTCTTGTCTAGGGTCCTTAGAGCATTATGACAAAGACTCGACAAAGTCTGAGGTAAATGACGCAAGACTAACTGCTCTCTGGGCCGTTATTGTTAAGACATGGAGAGTCCAAGAAGTTGTTGATCATGCACTGTTTGTATGTTACCCACCCAGTTCAACGGTTGAAGCTCACTCTACCCATCTCTCACTTGTAGTTTGTTCAGTGCTGACCTTGACTCAACCCAGGCTATTGTTGCCATGATCTACCTTCTTCTGTATGTCTTGTTGGCTGCTAATTAGACCCTTTTCTCCTGGTGCCCCTATCTCCATCACCAGCCTGTAGCTTTACTATGGCAGGGACTTAACTATCACAGTCATGAAGGTATAGCTGCAGTCTTCCTTGAATACTACATATTTTGCCCATCCTCATTACAGCATGTGCAAGCAACTCATACTTTTTAGTGTGGGTCCTTTCCTCTTACTACCTTCAGAGAGCTAGCTAATACATCACAAATATGGAGTATTTTCGTGAACACCAAGGTGCCTCAATTCTAGAGCCAAGCTACAGTTTCTTGAGAAAAATTCAAGGCAAGAACCAAATGATGAGCATTTACCAAGCACCTGTACTGTTTCTAATGTGTTCATTCATTCAGTTCTCCCAACAACTCTACCAAGGAGATCACACTCCTGGGTCATGCCTGAGAAACTGAGAGTGAGGGGGATTATGCAATTAGCCCGGGTCACATAGTTGACAAACAGAGGAACCAGGTCAATCCCAACACAGTGAAACTCCAGGTTCCACACTCTACATTACCATCATACACACTGATGCCAGCCCATGTTCATCTGGCCAGAAATTACTGGTTGTGTTTTTATAGGGGAAAGTCCTGAATTAGCCCTTTAGCTTCTCTTGTTCTTGTTGAGTTTTTAAAAACCATTACATATAGAAGTGAGGTGCCGGATCATCATTCATCTGCCACTAACTTTGCTGAAGATGGCCTCTCTGATTGAAGCCACCCAACATGTTCTCACCATTTTCACAGGGGGGAAGATAACTTTTGTACGGTTAGTAATTCACTGAAGAATTAACTAGTTCTGGGAAATGGAGCTAAAACAGCATGAGTCATAAGACTTTCTAATCAGTAACTTTTCTTCAGATTTAGAGAATCCAGACTTTCCACTGACCGCAGATAACAGCAGCCCACAAATTACAGAAGCATAGCATCCAAAGTCTATAACTACCCTGTTGCCGCCCCCAGAAATCCCTTCAAAACCCACATGCCATAGCCCTTGTGCTCCATTTGCTGGCTTGATAACTTTACAAATAAATCTAGCTCCTTGCCCTGATAACTTATCCTTGAGTCGTCAGCTTTTTCCATTCACAAGCAATGAACTTGGGTTTAGAGTTACATCACTTCCTTGGCCTCCTATGTCAATGGAGGAAGGGTACTCAGGTCCTAAAGGAACTTCCAAATTCCTGTAATACGAAAGCAACTTTTCTAATAAAATGTAAGTGTAGTGTTTCTGCCTCAAAGGGGGGAAGATTGAACCAGTTATGGTTGAATTCCACTTTAGTACAAGTGGCTATGTATGTTTGTATTTGATAGGAATTTGTTTGTTTCTACACACCCACTATGCTTCTCGAATATGTGGAGCATTTGATACCAAGCAGGGGAGCAGCAAAGCTAGCTTCTATGTAAATGATGTTTATCACCAACATCCCAGCTATGGGACCCATCCCAAAATCTCTGTAAAGAATACAAGTGCTTAAGGTTTTAAATATTCAGAATCGCTTTTCTTGTGCCTGAAAAACAAACTGAGAAAAAGAAAAAAACTTTCCATTCGCCCCCAGTAAGTACTTCTTATTTGCTTGTTTTTTTCTTTTCTTTTCTTTTTTTTTATTCCATGACTTAAGAGGGTTTTGATTTGTGTGTGCAGATGCCTGGGCAGAGGTGGGGAATGGAAAATTTGCTACATTAAAGGTAGAGCATGTGTTAGTCGTGTCTCTTGAGCTGCTGAGTTCCCAGTGCCACGTGCTTTCTTCTCTCCAGAGCTGCAGTTAGTTCCTCTTGCCTGGATTAAAGCTGTCAGACAGCAAATTTGAGTGAGCAGAGGAGTTCCCACATCGTGGCCCTGAGAAGGATAATGCAGAGCTAAAATGAACATCCCAAAGGTACATACGAGTACCTTAAGCTGCATTTGCCATTTTGAAATGGGCAGGCGTGGAAAGAGCCTTGTCCAAGTAAGTCAGAACTCTGACGTTCTCTCTCTGGAGTAGCAGCTCCATCCAGCCACTCGACCAGCAGTCTTTCTCCCATTGCTTCACAGTGAGCCTCAAACCCTGTCCTTGTTAGCTACGCCTCAAGTGTTTCTCTTCCTCTCTTGCCAGGGCCATTGCACTGTCAGCATCTAGTATCCCTCGCTTCAGCTTCTAGCCTCTCCTCACGCCACTTCAAAGTCTTCAACCAACATCATACGTGTAACTATAATTCATGTGTGCTCCCTCTGGTGCACACTAACCATGGCTTCCTGTGGCCGTTAGGTGAGGATCAAACACCTCACGTGACCCTTTCTTTACAAGTGCAACTCCCTTTCTTGTTCCTCTCATCTCTTGACACATCTGTTCTTTCCTCTTCCTGCACCAAATGCTTAGATCACACTGAGTGGTGTGGTTTCACCAAATCCCCCAGCAGACAAGTCCCCATGCTCCCAGGAGCCCCTTTCTTGTCCCTGCTCCCCCTCCCCTCCCTCTCAGTGTCCTTTCTTCCACAGAAACCCTGCTTGTCTTCAGGCCTTTGTTTTCACACTCATCAGTTGGGAGAGGAAAACTTGCCTGGGTGATTTCAGTCATCAACTATTGATGGCTTTTCTGCTCCCATTAGATTCAATGCCTTGCCCCCATCTTAGGACTCCCGACGGATGAGCATGGTGGCCTGTTTGAGTAAGTACAAAGACTGCAACTGAAAAGACCCACAAATTCATATACACCTGTATTGTCTTCCCCAGTGGTCTAGTGGTTAGGATTCTGTATGTCCATATGCAGCTGTGGTCAGATAAGACAACATCATGGGCCCAAAAAAAGCAATGGAGAATGGGAGACCCCAGGCAAAATGGTGGCAAATCCGCTCCAGTTGCATAC